GCCAAGATAGCTCTGTGGACTAAGCGCCTGCTTAGGCAAGTGCAGGAATTGGGGTTTGATCCCTGGTACCACATGCTGTGCCGGCCCACCCCTGGGACGGGCTGAGCTGGGGATGGAGTCTGGGTGTGGCAACGCATGCGTGTAATCCCAGCTGCTGAGGAGGCTGAAAACAGGACAATCACTGAGTCTGAACTGCGTAGAGAGACCCTGTACCAATAAATAATTAAATAAAGTAATAAAGTAAATATAACATTTTTTCTGAAAAATTAATTTTTGTGGCTTTTATGGCCTTTAAATACATTTTGTAGGAGCCAGGGAGATGGCTAGTGGAATAAGTGCTTCCTTGGCAAGCACAAGAGTCTGAGTTCAATCCCCAGTTCTGCCAAAATAAATGAATAAATAAATACATTTTGTAAGTTTTTTTTTTTTTGTTTTTTTTTCTGTCTCAGGATGCCATAAGGGCAGGTCTGGAAAGGCATGAGGATCTGGGGATCAAACCACAGTACCATGAGCCTGACTGCCTTTGCTTAAGCAGGCACTTAAGCAACTGAGCTAATGTGCAGGCCCCTTAAATACATTTTGTAAAATTGAAATTTTACATAATTAACATCTAGTATTAAATATAGCAAAGTTATCAGAAATTTTATTTAAATAGAAGAAATAGATTTGAGGTATCCCCTGTAACTATAACTATAGTTTGTTTTTTTGGAGACAGGTCTCGCTATGCAATTCAGGCTGGTCTCTGTAGCCCAGGAGGGTCTCAGACTCAAATGAAAACTCCTGCCTCAGCCTCCTGAGTGCTAGGGTTACAGGCATGAGTCACCACTCCCAGCTCAACTATAGTTAAATGTACTGTAGAGTTGAAAATATCTAAAAGTACATTTTAAGGGCTCTCCCTATCAACAACTGAAAGGTACATGAGGTAAAAAATGTTAACTAAGTTGATTCAGCCATTCCATGATGTGTACATGTGTGAAAACATCATGTTTGTATACTGTAGATATACATGATTTTGTCAACAAATAAATATAAACATAATGATGCTGAAAACAGAAGGCAAAGAAAATAAGAAAAAGATGAGAGCAGAACATTACCTCTGTGCTTGGAGACTGATGAAAACTATTTCTGTTATTAGCAAGTTGTCACACCCTGTCCCCCAGTATCAGGGATCAGAACCCAGAGCTTTGCTCTCAGCTACATCTCAGGCCTTTCCATAAAAAGATTCTGAAGTCCGTGTGGTGGGGCACACCTATAGTCCCAGTACTTGGGAGGCTGAGGCAGGAGGATGGAGTTCAAGGTCAGCTTAGGCACACAGGAGTTTGAGGACAGCCTAAACGACCTAACAAGATCCTGTCTCAGAAAACAAAAATAGATTTTGAGATAGTGTTTTCCTACATTGCCCAGGGTGGTCTTGAATTTGTGATCCTTCTGAGTGGGGCTCCCACTCAGTTTACAGGTGCATGCCCCACTGCCTAATTTAAGAAATGCATTAAAAAAAAAGTTAACGAAGATTGATGTGTGATTTGAAAAAGCAATTAGATAGAACTCAATTTTGTAGAAACTCAATACAACTGACAGGTCGGGGTTGGGGTACCCTTTCTTTTCCGCAGCAAGCACACTGCAGGTGCCAGGGTCAGCACCCCAGACCTGCTTTCAGAGGTGAGGACCCAAAGTACCAAAGGCTCTGTGACCTGGCCAGAGGCACCTTGTGGGCAGCACAAGAGCATGAAATTAAAAACTCTGGACATTCCGGGATGGAGCTGCCATCATTTGGAACAAAAAGGTAACTTTCTTGTGGGCCAGAACTGTTAGTTCAGAATGTGTTAGGACGCTTGACTAGAAACAAAGTCCTTCTCATTCTAAAAGTTATTCAAGATTCAAAAAAATTTTATTGGGCCAGCGAGATAGCTCAGCAGACTAAGTACCTGCTTAGGCAAGCACAGGGACCATTGTTCCATCCCTGGTCCTGCATGTTGTGCCGGCGCTGCCACCAGGGTTCCACTGAGTTTTGACAGTCAGGGTGTGGTGGCACATGCCTGTAATCCCAGCACTGGAGCACTGGAGAGACTGAAAACAGGAGGATCACTACGAGTCCGAT